CTGGTGGCAAGTCGGATTGCCCATGCCGGCAAATGGTAACACAAGCTGGGTGTTCGAGTTATCATACGCCGTCATCTCAGAATTCCATTGTGAGATACGCGGCAGCTTTTGGGATGAAATTTAGCGCGAGAGGCGTTGATGTGGCTTTTGAGGTCGGTGAATGGAGGCAGCTAAACTTGTTTGTGCTCATACGGTCTTTCTTAGCTAGATGCGAGATACCTTGCAATAGAGAATGCTGTATAGTACCGATAACGCGTTTCAGCCGGGTGAAATATTCTGTTTGGTCCGTTACACACTCAAGGCCTGGGAGTTCGAGTTATCATACGCCGTCATCTAAGAATTCAAATATGAGATACGCGGTACCTTTTGAGATGAAATTTAGCGCGAGAGGCGTTGATGTGACTTTGGCCTCGGTCAATTGAGGCAGCCAAACTTGTTTGTGCTCATACGATTTTTGTTGGCTACATGCGAGATACCTTGCAATAGAGAATGCTGTATAGTACCTATAACGCGTTTCAGCCGGGCGAGATATTATGTTTGGTCCGTTACACACACACACACACACACACACACACACACACGGACATGGGCAATCCTACAGGTCGGGGCCCCCCTGGGCGCTTCGCGCTGGGGCCCCGCCCAAAAAGGTTCCTAAGTATGTGGCGTGAGTAAGCGGTGGTGCGCTAAGACGTCTTGGCAGGGTTTAGGCGATGGCAGTACTGACTCCATTGCAGCTCGGCGGGCTAGTGCCAACCTTGCTCACGGCAGCCCGTGCTTCAATGGACTAACCACTCCTCCTCCTCCTCCCCCTCCTCCAGGGGAGCAGTACTCAACTCCCTCTGCTTGCAGGCACTACTCCGCGGACCGCCATCCGTTCTTCTTCATCTTGCGTCTTTTGCGAACGATGTGGCAGAAATCTCATGTGGCAGAGGCCTCGTGCGATCTGTCACTATGCATGTCTTGTCGTGTCTTGTCGTATCGTTTTTGCGACAACCAACATCATCGCACATCGCACAGCATCCAAGCTCTCACCGCCCGCTGCCGCCATGCACCACAATCGCCAGCAGCCGTAACGCCTGCTGCGTCTGCTGTACCAGCTGCTGCCCCGCCAAGCCCCCTCGAACGTCGACGCTCCATGACGCACCTGCAACATGTAACCCGCCACCGCCACCGCCACCGCCGCCCCGCATCACCCCAATACCACCAATACCGCGACCCGCATCAGTGCCCTCCGACAAGAATGGCCGCAGAGCCGCGGCAGCAGCCGCCGACCGCCGCAGCAGCCGTACAAGGCAGTCCGCCACTGCTGACGCCGTGGCAGCTGCGCCAGCACTCCAAACGGGCGCACCTGTCGCCACAACGTTGGGCCGTGCCGACTCGCTCCCAATTGCGGCGGTAGCAGTGGTAGCGGCGGCGGCGGGGCCCATGGCGTCAGTGGATGCGGCCGTCGCCACTACACTCGCCGCCAGCCGGACCAGCAGCGCCTGCGGCGTTAGCCTTGCCAATGCGGCAGCCGCCGCTGCCGCCGTGCCAGCAGCTCCGGTACGTTGCACCGCGGTCGTCATCGTCGTCGCCATCGTCGCCGTCGTCGTCGTTATCGGACGCTGCAGCGGCAGTAACGCCTCCGCCGTGGCCGCAAGGCTGCGTGCTAATCGCTCCGAAACCACCTGCCCCATCGGAAGCGCGGGCTTGTCGGCCTCGGTCTCGGCGGCGTCGGCGTCGGCGCGACCTGACGCAGCTGCGCCAGCCGCCTCCGCCGCCAGGACCACTAACCGCAGGACATCCAGCTTGGCAGAGGCACCAAGGCGTATGGCGCTCGCTGCTGCCGCGTCCGGCGGCGCCACTGGCGGCGATGACGACAGCTTCAGCGAGCCGCCGCCGCCGCCGCTACTGCCGCCGGCTCCCGAAGATGTGGCGGCGGCGTCCGCTACGAGGAGGTCCAAAAGCTCCTCAGCCGCCGCCGCGGCCCCATCCACCACGTGTACGACATTCCCTTCCGCCGCTACAGTCGACGGGGGTCCCCCCGCCGCTGCCGGACTTGACTCCCTTTCCAGTTCACTTTTTCCAGACAGCTGCTCTGATGGTGGGCTCCCAGGACCAGAGACAGGGTTGTCCATCGCCGCCGCCGCCGCCGCTGCCGATGTAACTGCTTGTCCCCGTTGCTGCAGCGCCGCCCAAAGTAAAGTGTGTACGGCAGTTACCACGGGGTTGCCGTACGGCAGATGGTCGAGGAGCGCCAGTAGAGGCCGCATGGCTGGCCAGATAACAGGGTGGTCCTGCATGACAGGCTGCACTACTGCCTTGTCGTACACCTTGTCGTACGCCGACAGCTGCCCCACCATCTCACGAAGGCGCTCACCGTCCTGTACAGCGCCTCCGCCACCGCCACCGCTAACGCAAGCGACACCGCCAGATGCGCCGCCACCTAACCCGAATGCGCCGCACATCAACGCCGCGAGACGCCGCGTCGCCATGCCACCACCGCGTCGGTCTCCTCGGCCGCCGCCGCCGCCGCCGCCGCCGCCGCCGGAGACGGCAGCTCCCGCTCCAGTCGCCTCCTCCTCCTGGGTTGCTTCCAGCCTGCGTATCTGCAGCGCCAGCACCTTGGCCGCCACGGACAGCTCCTCGGGCTGGTCCTCAGGTAGCAGCAGCTGGGGCTGCTGCAGGAGAGCGGCCAGGGTGGCTGGGGGCCGTGGAGGGGCCGGAGGAGGAGGGGGGGGGGGGGAAGAGTTGAGGCCGGGATTGGGCGGGTGTGGTGGGGTATTGCTGCCTGATGGGGTTGTACAACGTGTGACATGTGACGTGGTGCAACAAGGAGCAATAAGGGAAAGAAAAATGCGGGGCGACGGGCGCTGTTCTGTTGGCGGGGCAGGTGGGCCGTGGGCGTGGGGGCCCCCCAGGGCACGGGGTGCAGGAGGGACGGGGCCGGGAAGGGCCAGCATGAGGAAGCGCGTTGAAGAAGGCAGGGTGAGCCCCTCGGCCCTGAGTCCACCAGCAGTATCCACCAGCGAATGTTGTCCACGGCGTTCCGCCCCGCACCTCCCCCCTTCCCCCTTTCCTACACCTTTTCGCCCGCACACCGCCACCAACTGATTTGTGCTGTCTTACGACTAAACCAGCCAACCAACCAACCAACCAACCAACCAACCAATCAATCGATCACTTACCAATACAAGTCAAACTGTGGCCTCCCACTCACATACACACCTTTGATGTGCTCTCCCCATTAACCCCCCCTCTCTCTCCCCATGACCACCTCCCTCCCTTCCCGTACATCGGTCGCAGCACTCTTTCCTTGGCAGCAGCTTCCCTCGCTCGTGGTTCGTCTTTTCCCTCTCTTCCCCCTTCCCTGCTCACCAAGTGCTCTCGACCGTTGTCCACTGCCCCACTGGCACAAGGCTCCGCTGCCACCCGCTCCTCCTCCTCCTCCACCTCCTCCTCCACAGCCAAGGGTAGCAGCAACCCCAGGAGCCCCCGTCTCCCCCTCTTCCGCCTTATCGCCCTCTGCTTTCTCCCCCTCTCCCTCCCCCTCCCCTTGGTGGTGGTGTAGCGAATCCATCAGCAGGGGTACCACGCGGGACAGCAGCCACAGCGCCGTCAGCGGCGCCGGCGGGGGCTCGGCCTCGGCCCTGGGCTCGAGAGATGCTGCTCCGGACGTGACAGCTTCGGCTGCCGCAGCCGCCGCTTTGATGCCGCCCTGCCGGCCACGTTTTTTCCCCTGGCCGGTACGGCACAGAACAGCACGTTGCGGCGCGGTGCGGCCCGGGGACAGCGCTGTGTGGAAAGGTACATCCACATCCTAACAGCCATTAAATATGACAGCCTTCATCTCAGCGCATAAGTCACGTACCCGTTGTTGACGTGGCTGCTGTTGTTGATGTTGTTGATGTTGCGCGGCTTTCATCGAGGCGCAGAAGACGAGCGCCGGCGCCCTCGCCGTCGACGTCACCGGTGCCGCTGCCGCGCCGCCGCTGAGCTCACGCCGCAGAACTGGCGGCCGCCGAAGGACCGCCAGCGCCGCCGCCAGGCCGCCGCCGCCGCCGCCACCGCCGTGCTGCCAAGCTGGCACACCGGCGCCTATTGCGGATACGGTTGCTTTTTCGGTTACCGTTGTATCAGTTGGTGCCGACGCTGGACATGCCAGTACTTGTGTGAGCAGCTCCGCCGACTGCGGTGGCTCCAGGGGGGCCAGACATCGCAGCAGGGAGGGGGCCACTGCGGCCACATCAGCAGGACTGAACAAGTCACCTGGGGGGCAGCATTAGTACGGCGGACGGGTGGGGGGAAGGTACGATGTTTGGGTTTCGGGACGGTAATAAGCTTCGAGTGAAAGATTTTTGTCGCAGGTCGGATCCAAATCCGGATCCAGATCCAGACTGGATCCGCCCTGGCGATCTGGGGGTTTACCAAAATTTAAAGGACAGGAAGGCAGGACGTACATCGACTGGGCCCGTATGGGAACGCGGGAGCGCTTCTTTCCCCCCACCCCCCGCCCCTGGAGCGTTAAGAAGTTCTCGGGGAGCCCTAGACACGGGCGCTCCGCAGCACGTGGAAGCCGGACGAGGTGCGAGGACAGAAATGTGCGGGTAGTGCCTACTGCGGGTAGTGCCTACTGCGGGTAGTGCCTACTGCGGGTCCCTCAGGGGATGAAGATCGGTAATTGTCACCTCGCGCCAGGAGCAGCTCGCAGAGCGTCAGGCGGTCCATGACCCGTGGGTCACTGGCCTTGTGTTTTCCTCCTCCTCCTCCACCGCCACCACCACCAGCCCTCCCAGCTGCCGTTGCCGCTGCCTCCTCGTCTTCGTACACATGTGCCAGCAGTGCAACCCACGGCAATGGTTGCTGTGGCGGTTGCTGCTGCCGCTGGTCCTGCAAGAAGGCATTACGGCCGCCACCGACGTCGACTGCGACTGGAAGCTGTAGCGCCAGGAAGCGCCGCCGCCGGAGCTCCGGCTCCCCGCCAGGTGAAAGGCCGCCGACAGCTTCTCCTCCTTCTCCCGCCGTCGTCACCGCCACGGCAGGATCCACGTCCAAATCCATAAAATCCAGATCGTCAGCGGTGCCGTCAGGTGCAGGTGAAATGGCAGCAGCCGTCGCCGTCGCCGCCGCCAGGGGGTTGCGTCGCGGCGGCGCTCGCGGTGGCGGCGCCGCCAACTTCATGGCATCCTCCAAAAGCCGCAGCCGCGCGTACAGCGGCGTTGCAGCTAGGCAATCTCGTACGAACCGTACGACAGGGCTGCCGGGAATGTACAACACACGGCTGCTGTCATCGCTGTCGTCGGGGCTATAGCGGTGCTGCTCGGCAAAGGACCTCGTCTGCGTTGGAAGATCAGGGATGAACCGTTGGCGTCCTTGACGGTTATGGTGGTGGTTATGGTGGTGGTTATGGTGGTGGTTATGGTGGTGGTTATGGTGGTGGTTATGGTGGTGGTTATGGTGGTGGTTATGGTGGTGGTTATGGTGGTGGAGGTAGTGAGGAGGGAAGGAACCCTAACAATCTGGGCCTTAGGGACCCAAATTGAATCTCGCTCTCCCGCCGTTGACTGTGTTACCGTGTGTAGGCGGTGCGATCCCCTGCTCCCTTACCGAGCGCACACACGCACGCACACAGACACAGACGTGGGCGCACACATGCGCGTGCAAGACACATGCGGGCTGCACTTCACACACACACCCGACTCGTTTTCGTCATCCCCCCTCCTCCGCCCGCCCTCCCCAATCCAATCCCGTCCATACGTCCCACCTCCCTCCCCGATAACCCCGGTGTAGTTTACCGCTGCTACAAGCACATGCGCCCTGAGCTCCTCTTGCCGATGAAGCGGCCACAAGCAACACAGCGGCTCCGAAACCTCCCCCAGACATTGTAAAATCCAGGAAATAGGAAGCAAGCGCCGGTCGTACGGCAAGGCGGCGGCGACGCCGCCTACGCCACCTTCCGTGAGCGCGCCAGCCGCCGCCGCCACCGCCGACCTCTCGGCGGCACTCCGCCATGTCCCCGCCTCCGCCACCTCTCCTTCTAGGTGCTGCTGCGACGGCTGTAGCGCCGCGCTTGCCGGTTCGCTGGCCAAACGTGGTTTCAACGTGCCCTCGCCCCTGTCTTTGTCCCTCTCCTTGTCCTGGTTCCGGAGCCCGAGTCCCCGGTAGTCGCCGCACCCTAGGGCCCCCAACACGGGTCCTACCACACACTCCGCCAAATGGGGCTTATGAACGAGCAACCGCTGGAGCAGCTGCGTGTACGACAGTGGGGATTTAGGTTATTTGGCATGGGCCTGGCCGCGGGGGAAAGGGGGATGAGAGGGCGGGCGAGGTGGTGGCAGAAACGTGGGGTTGAGGGCCCGGCAGGGATCGGGTGGGATTGGGGGGTGGATAGGGGGAAACGAAAGCTGGTGCCACCGTGTTTGTGCTCGTGGATGTGTTTGTGTGTGTGTCTCTATCCGTCAACCAACCCCCATTTCCCCATCTACCGGGTCCAGGCCGCTCCTCATGTTGGCAGGTCGGGGGTAGGTGGACTGTACGACGTGACGGATCTCGCGAGGGAAGCCGGGTAGCTGGTGGGGCCACAGGGGAAGGAGGGGGGAAATGGTCAAGAGGAGACGTGTAAAACACTTCCACACCCACACGCATACACACGTTACTTCAGCGGGAACGCAAATGGCGTTTAGGAAGGAGGTGCGAGGGGTGACACGGGGGTACGGGGGCACACAACGACTGCTGCATGGGAGGTATAGAAGGAAGGAGGAGGGTGTGAACGGTGCGTGTGTGGGTCTGTGGGGACGGTTAAAGGGGGGTAAAACGCAGTAGGCCCAGGCAAGCACGGACGTGAGCGGACAGGCGTACGGACAAATGTACGAACCTGGCTGGCCTCGGCCAACATGGCCCAGCCGCCCGCAATACCCTGTTTCGAGGCCGCATGTGCGTGGAGAAGGGTTTTAGGAGGTTGGGAGGTAGACGTAACTCAGGAATGAGCTTAACAGGAAGACAGGGCCAGGAAGGAGCAAAGGCGCGCGCTGGATTGTTTTGGGAGTGCCATAGGGGTTGAATGGTCAAAGGGTGGATGTAGGATTAAAAGGGGACGGGACGGGGCGGGGCGGATCCGGACTGGATAGGATATGGGACGAGAAGGGACTTGGCACATGTACGTGGTCAAGGGAGTTACGGTGGAAACTGGTGCACGTACTTTTCCATCGATGGAGGTGCTACTACCTCCGCCTTTGGCATAGGGCTGGGCTGCGACTTGAAGAACGCCAAGAAGAAGCGGACGCCAGCTGTCGTTGCCCGTCCCCTCCTCCATGCCCTTTACCCCTGTGAACTTAACATAGAAATATCATTATTGCAAGCATCACTATGCAGATTTCATTTAGGTCTCCCTGGGTGATGACCCTGGGCTTGATTTGCATTTGCGCCGGAACCATGGTCCGGAGCACGAAAAGCATAAACAAACTGGAATCACATACCTACCTCTTCATTACTTTTTGTATGAGGGTCGCGAAAATGTCCCAAATGCTAGTTCCTGAACGATCTACCTTGAGGTTTCGTTCGCAATTGTGTGCTCCCCGTCGGCACCGGCTTACCTTACATGTAGGCGGCCTGCATTTCATTAGGTGCAAAAGCATAATTGCCGATAATGATGGTCTGGAACTGGAGATGCAGCTCGAGGCTCTCAAGGTCCGCGTGCGTGTCAAGCGCGACCGCGCCTGGCAGGCTCACAGGCACCTGGAAAAACACAGGAGCTGCAGCTATAACTGCAAAATAACATGAGAGTTTTCGTTTGAATCATGGCCTTTTCACCGCAGCCATCCATCATCCTCGTTGAGCCAAAAATGGGCGAGAACATTGGCGCAGCAGCGCGTGCCATGAAGAATTTCGGTTTATCCGACTTGCGCCTTGTCAAACCGCACGACGGGTGGCCAAACACTCTGGCGGACGCCGTGGCCTCTCATGCAGTCGATTTGCTGCGCTCGGCTCGGTTGTATGACAGCGTCGAGGACGCTATTGCGGATTTGGACAGGGTGTACGCCGCTACCGCGCGCACCAGGTAATCCGCTTGCATTTGGGTTACCGTGTCCCGCATTACAGGAGGGTCCTGTCCAGAGGGCTTTGCTCGTCCTAAATCATTTCGTGCCTCAGCAGCCACCCCACCCCAACCTTTCCTCTTCCTTCTGGTCAGGTACATGACCAAGGCCTTCGTTACCAGTCGCCAGCTCCCAGGTGATCTTCGTCAGCTAGCGGGTGCGGCTACGGAAGCGGCGAGGGCCTCACAAGCCGCAGCAGCCGCCGAGGCTGCTGAAGCTGTCGAGACCGCTGCGCTGCTCTCTGTCACGCAAGCAACTACCGCCAATGCAACGCTGGAGACTGCACCCCTCAATATTCCCTTCCACCCTTCCTGCAATAGATCCACAGCACCATCGTCAGCAGTGGGCTCACACACTAACGCGAACCAAACAACAGCAGCACCAGCGACACAACCGTCACCGATACCATCTCCACGACCAGCACGGGATCGAGGGCCAGATTTACCATCCACCCGTCACCTGTCCGCCTCGCCGTCATCGCCAACAGCACCGACTTCCCCTCCGCCTGTTGCACCTACAACGCCATCGCCGTTGCCACCCCCGCTGCAGGCTCCTCAGCCGTTAGAACTGCACCCACCATCCCCAGTACCTGCGCAGTCCACGCCACTGCCACCCTTAGGGCCATCTGCCAGCGCCGACAAGAACCCAGATCCGCATGCAAATGGAGCTGGCCTGCTCCCAGTGTCACAGCCACAGCTCCGCGCAGGTGTCCGTGCGCCGCGTGCGGGTGTGTTGTTCGGTCGTGAGGCCTCAGGTCTGACCAATGAGGAGGTGGCGGCGGCCAACAAGGTGCTCTGTATCGAGGCACATCCCGACTACCCAGTACTTAATTTGGCCCAGGCCGTGTTGTGTACGGTGTACGAGCTGTACAATGCAAGATTGGATGCGGTGGCAGGCGCGTCGTCTGTAGAAGCTGCTGCTGCTGCTGGAGGCGGCGGAGCTGTCGCTGTTGGCAGTAATGCGGAGGAGCTGCGCGCTCGTGCTGCGGCGGTGCAGTTGGCCAGCCATGGTGAGGTGGAAAATTTCTTGCGACGGCTAGTTTCGGAGCTGGATGACGTGAACTTTTTTGAGAGTGCATCGAAGCGGCCGGCTACTATGCTGAGCATTCGCAACTTGGTGGCGAAAGCGGAGGGACTGACGGCGTCGGAGGTGGCGCTTCTGCACGGGATACTCTCCAAGTTGACGACGGCGGCGCGTGCACGGGCACGGGTGCAAGGGTCCTGACTTGTGAATGAGCGTGTGAGGAAGTACTGGGGAAATGGGGTTGTTGAACATCCTTGGAAATAGGATCGTGATTCTGGTTTTGGATGCCGTGGAGGCTATAACCGGGTTGGCAAAATTGGCTGTCAAGACCTAGAAGAGGCGACTTGCACGCTGCATATTAGTGACGTAATTAAGCTTATATTCTTTTAATAAGCATGCTTCTTTTTGGCACGGTCCCGCGGAACACACGGGATGTATGGGCTTGCTCACCCCATGGTCCCCAGTGCCCGGTAAGCGCCTGTGTGCACATTCTCGTATGCCGCTACGGTAGGTGGCGTCACCAAGCACCATCCGCGTTGATGCACCCGCCATGAGCGTGCATGCAGACAGAATCGCACACCGCTCCATCTCTAGCTTTGTGCGCCGACCCAGATCACGACGCTTATCGTGATGCTCACCCCAACCATATACCTAAACGTGCCTGTGCTATATCATACAGGTCCAACTGAACAGGTGCTTCCAATGTGGATTCGGACGTTTTAAAAGTCAATAATAGTGGTCATTATATTATTCATATTAAGATGGTACAGACGCCCGTTCAGGAATGAAAGCCCTTAGGAGCACATGTATACATACACAAGGGCAATCCGACGGAAGGACGGACGAAAAATGCAAACCAACATATGGTAAATCACTGGGGTTTTGAAAGCAAAGAATTCATGCAGATCGCTGGAGACGAGCTGCGGCGGATTGCGTGGTTGAAAAAATAGCAGCATAGGCCGGATACAGCCGGCTTCGCCAATGCTTGTACCAGCTTCCAGGACTGGCTAATAATGCCGCCTGCTGCATCCCCACGCCCACCCGCAGCTCATCGGAGCCGAAACCCGAAAGAGCTTACGACGGGCAGGAGCCTTAAGCACTGCTGCGCTCGACGCAGCCAACATCAGCTGATGAAGGACCGGATTCTGCGAACCCCCACGGCATCAGGCAATTTAACAGATTGGTGCTGCTGCTCTTTGCTAACACCCGCCGTATCCCCTGACTCCGCTCGCTAACTGTTCATCTCTCGTAGTGACAAAGTCCCTGGAACCACCAATGAGCGGTTCTTGAAGCCAGCGTTCATGCTCCGTTGTCAGCCACCACCACCACCTCCTTGGACGCCCCTTCTTGCTCCTCCCCCCCTTCCTGCCCTTCCCCTTCCGCCACCGCCTTCCCCTCCTCATTGTCGGTGTCAAAGCTACCGCTGCTAACGCTGTTGTAGCTGCGTAGTTTTCCAACCAGCGCTGTGACCGTACGCGCCTCCTTGTACGGCGATGACGTCACGCTCATGACCTGTACGACGGTTCGAGATTCGGGCACTGTGATCACCGTAGATGTAGACAACCAATAACCCTAGGTGATGCGGGTCGCGCTCAGGACGGAATCCCAACACGTCCTCCGCCCTAAAGAAAGGATTATGGAGTGTCCTGCGTACTAAATATCCCTACGGACTGATGCTGGCTATCAGCTCTCAGTTCTTTTCCTGGTAAGGTTGGGCGCAATGTAACGGGCTCCCGCTGGGCCCCTGCGCGCGCCGCTAGGAACCCACAGCCCACCGCGGCGCTCTCTCCTAATACACAAGATATACATACACATGTGCACAGCAAAATTTCCAACGAGCGGCAGCGACCCCTTAACTAACCAAGCAAGACCCGTACATACACACGTGCACGCACGCACACACTGTTTACCCCGTGGTGGTGTGGCCCATATCACCATGGTGGCATACATACATGCATACATACATACATAGATGCATGCATACATACGTACGTACATACAACACCACACAGATTCTTCAACTTCCATCAAGTACGCAGCCCACCTTGAGCGCATACTCGATTTGTGTTCTCTCCCGCGACAGGAACCTGTCCACGACCGCACCCAGCCGGGGGTCTCGGAGGTAGTGGCAACTGGGAGTTGGGGGTTGGCGGTTGGGAGTTAGGAACAATTGGTTAAGGTAATAGCAAACTCAAACGAGACATGAACATGAATACGAGTCCCACATACCACCACCATAACCACCACAGCCACCACCACCATCACCAGGATGAAATCTTAACTAAGGAAAGTCCACAGTCCAACACACGACGTCCTGCACGTCCGGCCCGACTCTACCCATCCTCGGCGCACACACGCCACGCCACACATACGCGTTTTACATAGTTAAACGAAATCTTTGATATGCTAAGCCAGCGCACATACATACTCATATACATACGCACATAAATGTACACACATATCTGGTCTGGGTTGACACTACTGCAATTAGCGGTTTAAGGTCCTGGGTTCGATTCCTGGGGAGACCCCCGAATTAGTCGGGAGCGCGAGATTATGGCTAGCTGCTGAGATGTGGAGATGAGGTCACAGTTGATGGACCAGATTCGCACGCTGGATTGGTGGCGATTGCCGAACCCTCCGTCTCTTCGGGTGTTCGGGTGAATGGATGAGGAGGGGACCCTGAAGGCTGGATCCGCCGCCTTGGACTTGCAGTTCGTATGGCGAAGTACAGTGTGGTAGTGGTGGATGGTGCTATAAGGTGATAAATGATCTAGAACTGACAATGTGATAAAGCGGCCCAGAAGCCTCCCACTCTGTAACATTACATTACATTACATTACACACATATGTACACACATACGTACATGCATACGTGCACACCACATATGTACACACATACGAACACACATACACACATACGAACACACATACATGCATACGCAGTTACATACATACACACACCTGTATGTGAAGGAGGGCAGGTAACCCCTCTGCAGCTTGTGTTCCCCCTGAGCCCCCGCCTCCACCCTGGGTAGCCGCCGGGAGATGGCCTCCTCCAGTACCTATGCGGGATGCGGGGGTAGGGAGGGAGAGAGGGAGGGAGAGATGGATGGATGGATGGAGGAATAGAGGCAATGAAGTAGGGAGGGGGAGAGGGAGGGAGCGATTGTTGGTGAGCGGGAGCGAGGGGATAAGGAAGAGGGATCAAGACAAAGCTGATTCGTCAGGCCCTCATACGGGTCTAGAACCAGGCCGGCTCCTACGGAGGATTCCTCGGGGAAAGAGCCATGGGAAAGGAAAAGGAAAAGAACAGTCAGGTCCTGCCATTGTACAATGGCGCTATGCTGAACCCATTTTTCTTCCCTTCCACCCACCGACCACACTACCTGGTAATAGCACAGCTCAAAGTGAAGGTTGCGGTACTCCCGCCCTTCTAGCTGCCCCCAGTTGCGGCCAAACAGCGCGTGCGAGCCCACCAGATTGAGCGCCCCCGCCACCATCTTGTCCGCGGGTGGCGGTGAGGATGATGAATAGGAGGAGGAGGAGGAGGAGGAGGCGGAAGGGTGGGGGGAAGGGGAGTCCTCGAATGCGGCCACCAGCAGCACCTAGTTAAAATGGGCGTTGGTTTAGGTTGAGGGGAAGAAGGGGAGTAGCATGGGGATAGGGGGAAGTTCGGAGGGTGTGAGGGAGTGGGCGGAGTAAGTGGGGTTGGGAGGGGGAATGACGTGCGAGCGACTGAGTGGCTGTATGTAATACACAGCTCGTTATGGGGAGGTGGAGAGGAAATTAAGGGTGCGAACATAAACGGAGCAGGAGCACCAACACCAACGCCAACACTGACATCAACAGCAGTAGCCTCATCACTTCATCACTCCATCATCCAATGCCTAGATCCACCCACCCAGCCAGCCACCCAGCCAGCCACCCAGCCAGTCACCCACCCACCCTGTCCGCCAGGTCCTCCCCCAGTCGGTGGAAGAACTCCCGGGTCAGGTAGGCGTTACCCCACTTGCGGTTCACTGTGGCCAGGTAGAAGGAGTGGAAGCGGTCCCAGTGGGCGGCACCCAGCTGGTGACCGGACAGCCGGTGCACGGACAGACCGGAGCGCTCGATGCTGCGGCGCTCCTGCGATCCAGTTGTTTCAAAAGGGTATTACAACAAGGGTTTAAAAAAGGGTTTTAGGGTGCTGGGTTTGAAAGGGGGAGATTATCGTATTATTACACATACATATTACAGATACACGTTGTGTGACATGCGGCGTGTAGCAGAGCCGCAATTACCCGGAACCGCGCACACGCGCGTAGCTCCCACGCAACGGGGTGCCGGGGTGTGAGAGTGGAGGAGAGAATTTGCGATCAAGGTGGTCCTGATCAGGGGTACACCATCCGAAACACCCTCTTCCTTGCCGTACCGTGCCGTACCGTACCGCGCCAACACGTTCCAAGCAATCCAGTCCATCACGTAAACCTCAAGGGAAGCGTCTCGGGGGCTCACCGCCACCATCCCCAACCTCATCTCCCTCCCAGCCAAAACCCCACCAGCAGCTGTTCCAAACCCAAACCCAAACCTAACACCCCAGCACCCCAGCACCCCACCCCGAGCCATCCACCTGTCGAATGCTCTTCCGTTTAGATTGTTTCAACTCCCCAAGAAAGTCCTCGAAGCTGTCGTACTCGTTGTTATCCCAGTGGAACTGAAGGGTGTGTGGGTTGGTAGGTTGGGTAGGCGGGTGGCGGGTGATGGTTTGGAAGCCAGCCAGGCAGGAAGGGAGATGTGGCTTGGAATGTTAACTAAAAAACAAAAATGGATCCTGATCGAACCCGAATGCGAGCGCGTGCGGAAGGGGTCCAGGAGGGCGGCTGACTGGAGTTGGGCTCAGAGCTGGTTTTCGAGACCTCCTGGCAACCGGCCGCCTGGAGGGGGTTACGGGCTCCACCTACGTACCTGTATGCCTAACCGCTGCCGGAAGCCCAACTCCCCCAACACCGCCCACTCCTGAGCTGTGGTGAAGGTCAGGTGCACACCGGACACTCCCAGAGACTCTGTACGGCAATGCAGCAGAGGGCAGGGAATGACGAGCGGGGTAGGGAGAGAGCGTGTGTTCGGGAGGGGGGAAATGATGGGAAGTTAGTGTGCCATGGCGAAGTGGGGCAGAAGTGTAGAACGGGCAAAGGAGCTTTAGGCAATTCGACAGGCAAAATGGATCACAGCAAAACGTGGTTATACAGACAGATAGACAGACAGACAGACAGACAGACAGACAAGCAAGCACTGAAACCGCTGGGCCCCCCCCACCCACCCCTACATTCATGCAGTCCTGCGGACCTGTCCTTGCACTTGGCCCCCTCCCCCCACCTGCACCTCCTCCTCCTCCTCCCTCCTCCTGACGTGCTTTAATCGCCCCGGCTTACCTGCTCGGCCGGGTTTCAACTCTGGCCCTCCTCCCCCGAATACACACACACACAGACAGTCGCCACTCTCATCCCAGCCACACTCAACGCCCCCAGTCTCGCCCATCCGCGCCCCTTCCACCCACCCACCCACCCACCCACCCACCCACCCGCCATGTCGATGAGCGTCTTGCCCAGCGCTCGCACCACCGCAGCCCGGTCCGCGGGCGGCAGCTCGTTGGACACCATGAGCCGGGGGCCGCTGACAGGAGTGAAGGGGACTCCGGCCTGAAGCTTGGGGTAGTACCTGACGGGGTGTAGGGTGGCAGTGCAGTGGGGCAGTGGGGCAGTGGTGAACGAGAGGAGGCGCCTAAGTGGTGCCGGCAATGTGGAAGATGACCCCGGGGCCTCGAAAAGGCCAATCGGTGTTAATCGACGCAGGCGGGTAACCTCCTTAAGTCCCCCAAGGACCTGCTAGGCTCTCCCTCACCCTCACCCTCACCCTCGCTCACTCGCCGCAACGCCACAAAGCCTCGAAGCCCTCAACCGCACCAGCCCTTCAACACCCCTTCAGACCCTCCCCCGAGCTCACCTCACACCCAGCATGCTCGCAAAGTCCGCCCAGGAGTTATCGAACACGTACTCTCCGTAGCTATGGCCCTTAAGGTACATGGGAACACAACCCACCAGGCGCTTAGCTGAGGCCGCTTGACGAGCTTCCGCAGCCTCCACAGCCGCAGCCGGGTCGCCCCTTCCCAAAGCCGTACAGTCCATACCTGCAGTATTGCCTGGCGGATGCTCGTCAAGTATCTGCCGTACTAGAATGTGCTGAGGTAGCCAGCCGGTACGAGGAGACTGGTGGGCGGGTGGGTAGAGGGGGAGGGGACGAGAGGGGGTGGGAGTGAAGTGTTTGGGTTTGGTGTGTTGTCATGTTTGCCATGTTAAAACTTCTGTCGGACATGTGCACAATCTTGATCCCCAAATGCTTCAAGTGGGGGGGTTGCCGCTGCCGAGGCACTCAGCTGCGTCCCAGTCCATCTCCTCCCCCCTCTCTCCCTCCTCATTTCCCTTTCCCGTCCCCACTCCTTTCTTGGCGCGGCTCTTGACCGCACCCCATCCCCCGATGCACCTTCATACCATCAACAGAAGCTGTGCAGCTACCTTCACAGACACACAGGCACACAGACACATATGTACACACATACGCACATGCCCACGCACCCCTTTTCCTTCCGTACCACCACCTCACCGCTGACCCGCTGTCCTCCAACGCGTGAAGGAAGGACCACAGCAGGAAGGGGTTCACCTCCCCGCCACCACCACTATCACCACCGCCACCGCCACAGCGAGTAGCCACCGCGTCCCACTCCTCGCGGGAGACCTGGGGAGCTCATGAGGGGGATACAGCAGGTTGGGGGTGAAGCGTGGGGTTTTGGGGGGAACTTGGGGATGGAGAGTTAGCAATGCGGATGGAGAGTGCCGCATGCAGGCCAAGGGCTGCCGGGCTGTTCAAGGTAGGAACTACGGGTCACGAAAGGCCTCCAAGCTGGACACGTGTACATGGCAGTAGCAGCCATATAGCAGTAAGAAGCAGTCAGTGGAAGTAGCAGCCGCAGCAGCCGTAGCAGCATTAGAACCGCCATCAACATCCGCATCTTGGCCTCGGTGTTCTCCAACACTCCGCCTTGATGAGATCGTGCTACGCAGGTATCGTGTTGGGGTCTGTTCTCCGGGTCGGCCAGGTCTGCTCTCCGCTCGCACCCTCAACCCGCAGTCCCTTCCCCCAACCCCTTTTTCCCATTGCCCATACCAGCACCGCCACTGTCTAATGCACTCTGTACCACCTTGCTGATGCTGTCCACGACGGAGACCTCCAGTCGGAGAGCGGGCGATCGGGACAGCGAAGGTGTGCTGTAGCCGCCGCTGCCAACACCGCCACCGCTTCCGTTCGTGTTCGTGCTGCCGGCATTTGCACCAGCACCGGCACCGGCACTGCTACTGTCAGCTCCCGCACTGCTACTGCCGGACTCTGTTCCGCGGCTCGCCTCCGCGGCCTCGATGACACCCTCGGGGGCGTCTAGGGCGCTCCAAGCTTTCGGTTCACTGGCCCCTTTGCCATCTTGCTGCTGCTGCGATGTGGCCTGTACTCGTGTTTGCATGGACGTGTCGGTTGGGTGGTTAGACAGAGGGTTGGGAGGGTAGATTGCTGTGTGGATGAGGTGAACAGTACGGTGAATGGATGCTGGGATGCAACATCCTAGGGTTTCACTCGCGCCTAGGTTTCACTCGTGCATGCAACGCTCAAACTGCGCTTCGCTCTTGTCTGCTTCCTTTGGCTTTAAGATCCGTTCGGCCTCGTATCATATCTCTTGGCGGGCCATGGGGTGCCGTGACGTGCTCTGAACCTGTTCATAGATCCGCGGGTGCTGATGGTGCACGCGGTCGGCACTTGGTCTAGGCAAAAAGGTGGACGGGAAAGGTGGGATTTGGAGGATGGACGACCGGAACACCCGGCTTAGACCCGACCCAAGCATAGGTTTGCCCGCAAGTAGAACCAGATCATGAGAATAGTATCAAATTCAAGCCAAGGGTAAAAGTGGCGAAGTAGACCTGGCGGGATGCGATCTACTCCAGGTCTACTTCGCGGGATGCGATCTACTTGATATGGGTGTGCGTGCTTAAACGTGGTGACCCCGCGCCCAGGGCAACGCACCTCCTCCTTGGCCCCAGACTTCATGTCCTCCGTCTTCTGGAAGCCAAATTGGCGCCGGAAGGCGCGTCCGGTGCGCTCCCATAGCGCGTTTGTGACACTGTCCAGCCCGCTCCTCAATTGATGAATCCGACATGTTGCGAACTCTGCGCGGCGATATTTTCTTCCGTGATTACCGCCGCTGGTACTGTAATTGAAATGGTGATATTTTGAGGGTATAGAACGGACCGAGCGCATGGCAGGTCGACTGTGTCGAGGCTGCAAGCCAGGCTTGTGCGAGGGCTTTTTGAGTTTGCGCTGCCCGAAGGGCCCACTCGGCCCTTCAGACGAAAATGCTGAACGCAGATATAATATCAACTTTACTCTGTTCGCAGTTCTCTTCCTAGGAAGGGGAACCTCGCAGCAAGCAAAAGCGCCTGAATAGGTGTCGACCCTTGAAAACGAGCTTATACCCTAAAACGTTGTGTAAGAGAGAGCTTTAAGATGTCTATGGAAGCTTTGCCCTATGGCAGTTTGTTACACCTGCACTTGCTGTCTGATGCTATGACTCTAGTGCAACCCCAGCTGGTGCAAACCTGATCGCTTAAACAATAAGTAGTTTAAATACCTTTAGATGCGTTTGCTGATGGGCATCAGGTGCGGAAGTTTTGCATGGAAGATACAATGGATTGGTCTTCGGTTGGCACGGTTATCTACCTGGTATTACAACCGGGTAGTATAGTAACGGATCTGGCATTCTGGCTGCACTGAGTAAGAAAGATGGTTTCTAAATCCCTGGTTCACTACTGCAGACATACATATTGAATCTTAAGTGGTCAAAGCCTACAGGAATAAGCGTAGTGGACACCGCCACCCATTCATGTTGGTGTTAACTAGGGTTGGCGCTCCTCGCTTTCTGCGTGAATACCCATCTGGCCACGCAACATATATCATAAAATATTATGACGAAAGATCAAAAATTATGACAGCCACCTCGTGCTCATGGGAGGACAATTATACGTGTGCGTGCTTCCCCCACACGGTGGACGAAACGCTTCCATGGCCACCCCCTGCGCGGGTGAATAGTCCATTCTACATGGTACCTTGATGAAAACATGAATTGCAAAAATCCACGCTAGCACAGTACGCCCAACATACGAGCACTCGACTGTGTCAGCTGCCGCGCCGTACTAGTACGTGAGTAATGCATTAACCCAAGTCGGAACCAACGCTTCCTGCGCGGTATACGTAAGGATAAGACATGATGAGATTTTCATTACATCAAGCCCATAATTATGCATAACAACCCATAATAAGTTTAAGGTTGAAAGCTAAATCTCAAGCGGGAAGCCCTCACCATTTGGGCGTTAGCTGCCTTTTGCGATCGGCCTGGACGCAGCCATCGACGATAAAGGCACGGTTGAGCGCGTTGGCCGATACAGAAGCTGCGATTGTACAGGAGCTGCGCAACGATGCTGTGCGAACTGGGCCCAGAGGCATCAAAACAGCTCAAAGGCGCTGTCGTGGTATTGGTAAGTAGCAGTTTACTGTCATTGTTCTAAAAGGATGCCGATGGAAGCGTGTCGGAACACATTCGTGCTCACGAAATTGCCATGTTGCAGCCCGCAGTCACGTATGCTAACGTTGGGGAGCTGGCTGTTGACGTCTTGGTGGCCACTTTGAAGCCCGAATTCCTAGGTGCTGTGGAATCCGCTAACGTTCTGCCAGTCGTTGGCAATGACGCATACGACCTAGATCCCTCCCCTTCGGCTCAGCAGCCAGGAGGACTTGCCACCGCACTGGAGCTCTTCAAAATCCACGGTGGGTTAATGCATCCTTAACACCCCGTCAGACTCCTCCTTCCCCACATCTCCCCGCCTGCTTCCTCTCCCGCTTTCCCCTCCCCCTCCCTTGCTGCTGCTGTACCATCTAACCTTATCTCCTCTGCGCGCCCTCCCGACCCCCTCCAGGTCGACCCCTGGTGTTTCTGCAGCAACGCGCCCCCGCGATGGTGGGTCGCCAGTCGGCCTTCGCGGCTGAGCTGGTGAGCTGGCTGGTGGAGGTCGGGGCCTCGGCCCTGGTGGTGCTGACGGGGCTTGATGCCCAACTGCGACGTGACCGGCAACTGGACAGCTCACAATTGAGGTGGGTTGTTGGAGGCGGGATGTTCGGGTGAGGTAGGGTGTGTGTGGGGGGATATTTACGATGTATAATACGATCAATAACAAGCACTTGAGCTTCTACTCTTACCTCGTGATGGAACACATTAGCTGGGAGCTTAGACGTAGACCTGTTAGATCCGTAGACTGCGTTGACGATTTTCTGGTTTTGGAGCATTGAACGCACTCTGTGGCATATGAGCCGTGGAGGAGGGGACAAGGAGAGGCTAAAGCCCCCCTGTTGTCTGCAAGTCCGCATCTGTGTCCTGAACTGCCGTTTGTGCGGCGCCTTTCTCCAACCCGTCCGTGCTATGGACGTTCACACACCCGCCCACCTGGAAGCTGGACCAGCTCCTTGCATGTATATATGTACGTATGTATGTATGTATGTCCACACCCCCTCCTATTAGTGGGAATTGCCCCTTTATAGGAATTGCCCCTTCCTGCTGTACCACATCAGGTACCTGGCCAGCAATGAGGAGCTCCGCACCGCGTGCACCGCGTCGGCTCAGAGCCCGAAACTTCAGACCTCCGGACCGCAACAACAACAGTATCCAGATGAACAGGAATCGTCACAGTGGCAGGCGGCAGCAGGTTCCGCCGCCGCCGCCGCCGCCGCTGGCCCGCTGGAGCTGGAGTCCGAGATTCGGGAGGAGGAGCTACAGCTGCACCACAGCCTGCCGCCATGGCCACTGGTACGGCAGTGCGAGGATCAAGGCCTGCCGTACGTGCTCCTCGGGTGTTTTTCGGCGGAAGGAGACAATGCCGGCGAGGGGATGAGCCTGGCGGCGGCGGCGTTGCGGGTGCTTGCAGCGTTGCGGGTACCGGCGGCGACGGAGACGGCGGTGGCGACGACGGGGCCGGAGGAACTGATAGAGGATGACGCTGTGCCACTGCGCGCTCCGTCGTCCTGGGTGGGTCTGTACGGCAGGCCTTTCCCGGTAGAGATCTTCTGAGCTCGTCCCTGTCACGAAATTGCTTCTTACTAAACTTACAAGTCACAGGTTTTGGATCGGACGTGAACTCAAATGCGTTGGTTGTTCTGTTGGGTTGTGACTCTGAGGTTAAGGATAGCCCTTGGGACTGCAGTGCATGAGAAGATTCAGGAATAGCATCTGCGGTCTGGAGGTCGGGTCGTCAGTCAGTGCTTGCCTTCCATGTAATCGCTGTTGTCTGTATGCATGTATGTATATCCGTGTGTTGTCTCAGGTCGTAGGCACGTGCCCGGACGTGGTGCCCGGCGCGAAGGGCGTTGTTGCTGCTTTGTTTCGCCACGTGAAGCTCATCGAGAGGCCATCATCAAGCTGCTGTACGACTGGCCAACTGGCCAACAGCAGTCAGTCATACATGGGGCTGGAAAAGGAAATACCCATTTCATTGTAGGCATCTGCAGTGGCACTCGAGTACAGCAGAGCAATACATTGCAAATGGGCAGCAGCAGCAACAGCAGCCGCAGCAGCAGGGCCCGGCCTTGACAACACCAGCAGCGCCGGGTCCCATACTCCGCCAATCCTTAGCCGGTGGCGGCGTCACGAAACGGATGCACATCATGTCCTATGCGTATATATGTCTCTGTTTATTTATTTATGTATATGTATACGCACATGCATGTATGTACAACGTGGGGAATGATGACAGGTGTTTATGCTGCCGCAGCGCTGGACAACCCAATTAATATATCCACCCCTCCACCTACTACAACGCCCGTCTCGAGCAGGAATCGAACCCCCTCCGTGTTCATTCCGTGCCCATCCCGACAACTCTCCCACCTCGAGGGTGGTCGGCGACGTGACGTATACGCACACACATACCCGTTCAGTTGCAAGCCCCTACACATGCCCTGCATTCAAGTAGTGCAGCGCCTTCTTCTTCTGTCGCGGCCACATCATGGCCACCGGGCCACCCTTCCTTGCGCGTCCTCGCGCCAGCCTTATTCTTAACTCCCTCCTCTTACAGAGATCCAGCACATCAGCTCCCGTTGATGGCCAGCACCCTTGCTCTCACGCCCTGAAAGTCACTAGCTGTCACCACCCCTTCCTAAGGAAATGGTTCATACGTGTCGAGAGCTGCCCGCTGCTGATACTGCCGCTTCTACAGCCGCCTTAAAACACGCCTCCCACTACTAGGCTGGTGCCCTGAAGTACCCATGCGGTGTGTTCTTGGTGACAGGCTTCTTCTCTTCCGGTTTCTGAGGAACGAACCGACCAGTCGCCATGGCGGCTACCTGCGGAAAGATGCCGGCGGGGGGATTCGAAGGGTTGGGGGGCTGGGGAAGATATGAGACGAAGGGCGTGTGCTTTAATGAACTGGGATACGTGTACATGTATATATGCTGATGCAGTTTGGCTGTGGCATCATCGGAGTGTTTTGGCGTACGGTGCATGAAGCAGCTGCAATGTTGGTAGGGACGGTCCCGTGCCTGAAAATGGCGGTCACGTTCTCCTCCTCCCTCATCCCACACTAGTCGTAGTGTTGCAAACATGGGGAAACTCCCCCGGGGGATTCCCGCGCCTGCACCAGTACCAGGCCGCCCGCCCACCCCACCCATCCTACGATCTGGCAACCCCCTCTCATCCGCCCACCTTGACCCAGTTCTCCTTGACCACGGGAGCCGCCTCCTCCTCCGCTCGGTGGGGCTCCTTGCCGCCCGCCGCCGCCTCACCGCCCTCCTCGTCTAGATCCTTAACCCCCTGGCGCACCACAATCCTGGACACGGCCGTCCCCTCCACGTCCTTGAGCACCCGCTGTACCCGGTCAATCTGCTGGGCCATCTGTGTGTATATGTATGTATATATGTACATGTGTGGGGTGTTTAGGGGGGAGGGGAGGAAGGGGAAGGCAATCGGGAAAGAGACGTGGCTGCGGTGCTAATGGAGGGACAAAACACACGTGGATGAGGGTTTTACCGTAGGGGTCGGCCGGGGTTTGCCGTAGAGAAGAGGTGTAGAGGAGATTGGCTTCATGGAAGAGACATGATTGATGACAGGTTTGTACTCCTTTCACGGAATGCAGAGAGCAAAGTGACTAAAATGAAACATGAACTATGCCACTGTTAGGCTTTCGAGAGCTGTGGCCCCGGGAAGCATTTCCGCAGGACGAGGACGAGCGAGCACGAGGGCATGCATACTACCAGAGTAGCACTGTCCGCATGTCCGTACTGCCGTACCCTGATGATAGTTTGTTCGTACATCCTCAGCCGCTCCTCCAGATCTGATGATATAATTTGCATGTGGCGGTCCACGTGGATGATCACTTGCTTCACTTTGGCGTCAACAATGGACACCGCCTAAAAGAGGGGGAGGAGGAGAAAGGGAGAGTGCGGATTAAAGCATGATTCGGGTTTTTACAGTGTGGAAAGGTTTTGCAGAAAGAGTTTGCAGACAGACATTGATGTACCTGTCGCGCAACGATGGCCGCCTTCTGTTGCTCCGCCTGCTCCGCAGCCGCTTGCTCCTCAAAGCTGTTCAGCAGCGCCAGGGCAGCTCCGAGACCACCACCGCCCCCTCCTCCACCAACCCCGTTGGCAGCCCGTCCACCTCCACCACCAACTCCGCCTGCAAACAGCATGTCGGTGGGATGAACGCAAATTAAAGACACAACTTTACAAGACGCTTGCATGCACCGAGTCGTGCGTCGCCCAACCCCCCATTCCGCTCACACCCAATAACATTACGTATAAATGCCACCCTCTCTCTCCCTTCACCTGGCATGCCGCCAAAAACAGCCGCCGCAGCCGCCGCACCAGCATTGTCCGGCATGAATCCCAGGTTTTCGTTTGCCGCAAAGTTGAAGGCCGGCAGGGACCGCACCGCGGGCTTGGAAAACACAGTTCGAAGGGATTCCTCCAACGAGCCGGACACTATACGACCGTACGGCAAACATGTGCCAATGTCGAGGCCCACGTCGAGTCGAACAATCGTACATCGTACGTCCACCGAGTGATGTATTCGCGGGTTTCCGGCAACCACATCGTCGTCGTCGTCATCGTTGTCGTTATCAGGTTGCCCGGGCGATTTGGCGGCGGCGGCGGCAAAGACATAGGGGGTGGTATAGATAGGGGCATGACGGCGATGATGATAGAATTGTGGATGGGATTAGGCAGCTGGGGACGAGATGGAGGGCAGTTTTCCAAGGACCTTGCATGTAGCGCTATAACGAGATGTCTGCCTGTGTGCCATGCGAGCCATGAGAGTCACAGCTATGGATACATACATACATACAGACGAATAATGATGATTCAAACGCATACATGCAGCACCCAACTGCGGCAGATGCGCCCAGCGCACTGAGGCCATCCACCCCTCACCCACCGCCGCCAGTTGCCGCCAGGGCCGCCGCCACCGCATTCGGTGAGCCACATCCTCCTCCCCCACTTCCTCCCCCTCCCCCCGCTCGCCCCGGTGTGACTGGAGCCGGTCCTCCCACCCCTCCACTGGCGAACACGTTGAGCGCGTTTGTCTGGATCTGGACGCGGCCATGAGGGTGGTCGTCAGGGTCAGGGTCAGACAAAAGGAAGGGGAGCATTGAAGAAGAAATCAAGCAGAGTTTCAAAAGAGCAGGCACACACACACACACCCACACAGGCACACACACACACACATACGTTGTCCCCGTGAACCTGAAACGCTCCCCTGGCCCCCCGGAAGCCCCTGTCTGGGCTTTATTAGCCAGGTAGCCATGACCTATACTTAGCACATACACACAGACATACACACAGACATACACACAGACATACACACAGACATACACACAGACATACACACAGACATACACACAGACATACACATAGACATACACACAGACATACACACA